ATATATATAAGATATCAATTTATATAGTGTTTTTCTCTTTCACAATAGTGCTTGCTGCATTGATGTAGTAACTAGTGAGAAAGGAATCATTCTATGCTCATGTATCCACAGTTGGCCCAAGAAAGCATTGAAGGAAATTTTTGAATATAAAATATGGAATTTTGCTGTTATCACAAATTTACTGACAGTCGGTAGAAGATTTATCATGCTAAGAGCTATTTCCCTTTTCTACTTGAAACCACATAACATTGTCGCAATCAAATCTCATGTATCTGTGTCGAGGTATGCTAAAATTCTTAAGTTTATGTTTTTGAATGAAAGAATAAACTCTTGATAACGGGAAGTGATTAACATTTATAGAAATTTAAAGTAGATGTTTATATATGGTCAGCTATTCAAAATAGAACGATTTCCTCTAAAAACTTCACCTTGTAATTCTATTTCTATGAGAAAGCTTTATTTGAATATACAGGAGTTAAATAGGCCAAATAGATATCAGAATCAAGTAAGGCATTTATTAAAAATTCTTGTATTTCCCTTAAAAGGGTCAAGGCATCAGAAATGCTTAACTTGGCTAATAACTTCCTTACCTGGCCCAAAGCTTTGTAATACACCTTTTGTTGTACCTCCATACGTTCTTCTGAAGAAACGACATCCTGCACAAGGGGAAACTGAATTTCATGAAGCATTAACTTGTCTTGTACTGACTTTAGTGCCCTTCTGGATGGTAGTACATTTCTACTTTGAAGGTTTACTTCAACTATGTCTTTAGACAAGAATTTTGTAACAGATTCTATTGTTTCTATAGCAATATTTGAAGGCACTTAACTAGTTTTTCTGATCAGAAAGTTCAAGTTCAATTCTTATAGAAGTCCACTAAAAGTGAAAAACAAAGGCATACACATCAGAACTATAGTTTTCCTCTCTAACCCATCAAGATAAGATGTAATTTGTGAGTTGTCGTTGGAATTGAGATTTTGATAAAAAAATTTTAAGTTATTTTTTATATTTGTGGTAATGCTCGCATCAAAAATAGACAAAATGTAATCTCAATTGAGTCTTTTATTATTATATGTCCTAGAAGGAATAAAATAAAAATTATACAAAGTCAAACAAGCAACGACTCTCTCACTCGTGCCATAATAATCATCCTAGGTATAACAAACATACTAACATGCCCTAATCTATCATTTCCAAAGCATAAATCTTTGTCGAGCATTTTAAACTTCTTTAATAGGATCTCTTTAGGAACGCTGACCTCACTTTTGTGAGGACTCACTTCACTCACCTACACAACACATTAATCCAGAGTTGTGCCTTTCTTGGGTTAGACATGCCCTAGGTCACTCATATGAATTGACCATGACTACCATGGGTTAGACGTGCCCTATGTCACCCAAATCATCCAAAAACCCTAGAGGATTTCTTATGGGCCTTAGTGATCACCTTGACAATGAAATCTACCTTAGGAGAGGGGTCTACCTAATTTGATCCCTAGCCTCAACAAAAGCCTTCCTAACCCTACCAAACCTTTAAAATCCCCTTAAACCGTAATGTGCCCTTCTACCCAAAAAATTGATGGCACCTTGGGATGGTTAAAATCAATTGGGCCTACCCAAATTTTGACCAAATTTGGAACAATTGACTACATCGTCATCCAAGTAAGCATCACCCAACATGGTCAGGACACCACATTATGTAGGGGCCTAATTGCCACCCATAATTCACTTAATTAATTAATTACATAATTAATTTGGTGGAGTATTAAATTCCATTAGAGTCTAGGTTTAGAGAAAACTCAAACCATTTAGCTCAAATTCATACCTCTAAGAGAAGACTAAATCAAACTAATGGCCCATGACGCATCTTTAATGGGTCACCCATGACCCAATACCCACTTACCATGACACATGGATTAAACACCAAGCCAAACCAAGGTAAATACATCCCTCAATTGGTGAGTGATATTTCTTAAAGCATGTCTAATTTCATTTCTTTTTTGCACCCATTTATGGATAAAATTGCACTTTAAGGAAGGATATTTTTATCTTTTTATTGCAGATACAACATGTAGGAGAATTGGAACGAAGTGGAGAAAAAATAGAGCGAAGCGGATGCGACATAGAGCAAATTGGAAGATTTAGTACACTGGAGCCTAGACGCCAGTCACTGGGCACCAAGGTGCTCCACCAAAGCGCCTTGAAGCCCACCCTGTGGCACCTAGGCCCCAAAACCCAGCCGACCAGACAAAGAGCTTATTGCCTATGCACTAGCCTTGGCGCCAAAATTTCTTGGGACAAATCCTGCAGTTTTTTCCACACAATCCAGGGAGTTTTTTTGATGCATATAGGTGGTTCCATGGAGCATTATCAGTGACTTTGGAAGGGCTCAGCTCTTCAGAATGTTTGGAAGAAGTTCTTGCAAAGCATAGGGTAGGAATTTTATTTTATTAGGCTAGTTTGTTTTTATTTGTCTTGAGAGTTGGTGAGGAACTTGTGTGTGATTGTAAGGGAAGAACACAACATTGCAGGAAGTATTTTGAGATCCTTTATCAAAAAGTTTTCTACACTTTTGTAGGGGAAAAGCTAAGTATTTTATTCTTTTTCATCATGTATTATTTGTAAAAACAATTCTCGTGGATTTGCTTTGTTTATAAGGATGACTTGTATTGTTTCCTTTATGTTTTATGAGTAGTTCCTTCTTACCTTTCTCTTGTGATAAATATGTAAGTGGTGTAAGATTGTAGGATGCTTTTAAAATTGATTTTACATCTTTAATGTGATGAATAATATTCCAAGCATAATTTACTTTTCGTACTGGCCATGTGATTAGTTAAAATATGTTGTGATCCATATTAACTCGAGAGAGCTATAGAGGAATGATAAGGGTATTCACATTGAACTACTGGGTGAAGGAAAAGTAGTTCGTCGAGCAATGCAAATAGATTTGGAAGTAATCTTTGATGGGTTCAAATTGTTATCTTAAGGAATTAAAACCAATTTAACCAAACCTCTTTATTGACTCAAGAGAGGATAAAGAAGAAAATTGCTTCTATTTGTCACTAGCTACAATTTTAATTCAAACTATTTTATTCTTACACACTACTTATATCATTGCAAGGGAGGGTGGTTTTACATCTTGATACTCACCAATGCAAATAAGTTAAGTTGGTTTTATGTAGGATTTAACATTTACAATTGATTGCAACTCTATAATATTGGTTTTTAGATCTTCAATGTAATTTAAGTTCCAAGCTTAGAACTAGTTTTAGTAGACTGGAACTTATCATAAGGCATTAACCCATCAGTCCTTGTGGGATCAATATTCCAGACTCAAGAGTTTGATATTACTGATACGACGCGTGTACTTGCGGGAGACCCAAGAGTATTAGAGCACATGATTTAATGTGGGTCGATTAGTGAGGTTGACATCATCCACCAGGACTCATCAATGGGTGGAACACATGTCACCTAGCCCAAGTCCCATAAGACCAATCTTTGATGGGTCAAGCTAGATCATATTTGATATGTTTTATCCACTGATCCGACCGACAATTACACAGTGATTTAGCTTCGAAAAGATGACAAAAAACTTAACCCAATTTATGTTTAGAGGATAGTGCGCAAACTCAAAATGTTATAAAATTTAGAAAATATTTTACACGCTAGGGGTACTACGCAAGTATATGTATCATTTCAAGTAATATAGGATTTTGTTTTATGACCCTAGTATCAATCCCACATGGAAGCGAGGTAAGAAATCCCTTGACTAATTCTAGCCTACTACTATAAGTCCTTAGTTTCGAATGTCGATTAAAGTGATTTTTCTAAAAACTACTTTTAAATGAAAATATTTAATATAAAGATAACTTTTCTGGATATAAAGGTGAATTTTCTAGATAAACTGGTTTGGACAATTTTGAGATGTTTAAAACTAACCTTTTCGTGCAATAACCTTATTGACCTCATTTTTGGTTAAGGTCTAATGTTCCTCTTTAGTAGCTTAAGGTCTAGCCATAAGACTTCCTGTTGACTATTCCTAGAAAAATAGAAAAGGAACACTCACCATCAGAAATTTTAAACACCTCTTTACTCAACTTGAAGTTCCACATAGTGGTTCTAACCTATAGCACTTAGTAGGTGGATAGCACTTAGTAGGTGGGGTCAGAGGGAGCTCAAGGAGAGTTCCCATAGGACTGTTGGACCTTAGGGTTGACTCTGGATATTGGTTTAGAGCTAAGGAACTCACCAGCAATCACCTCACTCATAACCACTCACAAGCACAAACCAAAATTTCTTGACTTTGATCCCTTGATACTTTTGGGATACTCATGTAGATTGTCCCCTAAACCCACTAGCCCTGGTCTAAGGGTTTAGCTAAGACCATTACATAGAAGACTCAAATGGGATTTCCATTGGGCTATGGATTATTTATGGTGGTTGGCACCCCAACTCTACCAAAAATGCCTAACTTAGCCTTTTGCCCCTAAACCCCCAGATTACCTACAGACCATTCGGACCCTAAATTTGGCCAAATTCCCAAATTTACCCAAAATACCAAAATTTATTCAAATATCATTTAAAATTTATATACCAAAATTTATTCAAATATCATTTCAAACCTTTTGAAAATACCCAAATTACCCAAAATCACCAAAAAGTTACCAAATTACCAAAATGCCCCACCTTAGCCCCAAAATTCCAAAAATTCCAAAAAAAATCCCAAAAAAC